ATTATTAGTACAATTTATAGTCATAGCTCTTACCGGTTTTCTAATAGTATCATTTTGAATGTTGGTAAAAATGGTTGATGTGGTTGATTTCTGATCAAGTTTTTCATTGTTCAGATTAAAATCTTCAGCGTAATTATAATTTGTTGAAGACGACAATACTTCTTCTGAATCTATCTGACGTTCATTTTGTTCTGTTGTTGTATGAATATGATTTTTTTTATCAATAATAATACTCTCAACATGTTCTGTTAAATTCGTAATATGTTTATAATTTGTACTGGTATTAGTAATGCTGATTTCATGTTGTGTTAATTCTTTTAATTTTTCATTAATAACTTCCTCAAATATATTAATATATTTGACATGGAATATTTCATTTTGTTCATTGTTTAAATCAATAAATTGTTGAAATACAAGATCCGTTGTTATTTCACTATCCAATAAATAATTCAAGTGTTCTTGAATAAGAGATTTCATCTGTCGAGAAATGACTATAAGATGTACAGTTTCATAAATAGATAGATTTGTCAAGTGATTCTATGGTTCGGAGTGTCAGGTGCCCGTAATTCGAATTTGCAACACTATTTTTTTTCTTTTCATTTATACATCGTTGGATAAATTGCACATCGAGTTCGTTAAGAAATGTATCTTTTAATTTTTGAAAAAATCTTTTTCATGATAAAAAAATTGAAAACTTGAAAGACGTAAAAACTCGAAAAATCATTTAATATCTACATATGTATATAATCTACATTGTTTTGAAGTCTTCAAACAATTTTTTCGAATTCAGCGTTAAAAACTGAATATAAAAATGGTGTTTGATCAATTTCGAAGTTAAGGGTGGTCTTTTATTGCGATCAAATTTTGTCGCCTGCTAGTGGTCCAACGGTAACCCCCACGTACTTGAAGTCCATTCCCTATTAGAACTGCATTTTGGAGAAATGTTTTTGAAAATTCCCCTATAGGTTGGTATAGGACATTTTCCGATTTTTTCGGTAGTGGTGTTCTAATAGGGGATGGTCTTGAGGGATGTCCGTCTACAGCGAAAATTCTAAATTTGAGAATTCCGCAGCAGCACCACCGAATCAATGTACTCCGTATCAATCTTACAACCACACTATTTCAGAATTTCCGGACTTTGGAACTTACAAACCTCTGAATTTTGGAATTTATAGAATTTGCGAACTTTGGAATTTATGAACTTAAGAACTTTGGAATTTAGGAACTTCTGAATTTTGGAATTTATAGGATTTACTAACTTATTCCAAAGTTCGTAAATTCTATAAATTCGAAAATTCAGAAGTTCCTAAATTCCAAAGTTCTTAAGTTCATAAATTCCAAAGTTCGCAAATTCTATAAATTCCAAAATTCAGAAGTTCCTAAATTCCAAAGTTAGTAAATTCTATAAATTCCAAAATTCAGAAACTCCACAATTCAGAAATTCTAGCAAGAAAGCTATGTATGTCTATCGCTTGCCTACAGTGCCGCTTACTTTCAAATTTAGTACTTTTACAAAAAACGGACATCTCTGATGGTCTTCTATTATGGGGGGTGGTAGTAGACTAGTCGAGCATATCTTTTTGACGACTCGACTGGTAGGTAACTTTTCAGACTATTGACAGCCGAGGATAAAATAACCTTTCAGTTTTCGGGAGGAAATCAAGGTCCTACTGTACCAATAAAGCTATTTTCTCATGAATAGTTTAAAGATCGATAACTTTAATTCTTGCATTATTCGATTAAATCATCCATTTTTATACACGTAGACTTGTGATATTTCCACAAGCACCGATCTTTAGATCCAGATTCTGGTTTCGGACCACGAAAAAATTCATAAGCTATTACCTCAAGACACGTTTCCTTGACTTGTATAATCGAGAAAGATAAAAATATCTATGTGATTTCAAGCAAATCAGCGGCGTTTATATAGTATTTATACTTGCAGCCAAGCAAAACAGTGATTGACTTCCTGACAAAATCCGACGAGGATGTGTCTAGTCGAAAACACTGGTCGAATCTCTTTTTCGACTATGTTCAAATTTCGACTATATCTAAACAAAAGAAAGTGTTCAGTCGTACACTTTAACTGTTACTTACTTGAGTACAATTCTCTTGTTAACTTGTAAATTAAGTTTTCAAATAAATATTTCTTCATAAAATGAATACTCAGGCTGATAAAAGTACAATTTAGACATTTATTGTGAAAGTCCTGCCATTAACATATAAGTTCATGTAAATTATTGATGATAATGAATGAGAAGGATGAGGATAATCATGCGAGAGAGCAAGAGACCAATCATAATGGCAAATATGCCGATGCTGTTCATGATTAAAAAAAATTAGCATTTTTCATTCTGATTAAAAAACTTATGCTGCGAGAAAGAAACAAGAACGGATAGTTTCTTTGCGTGATTTGATCGGTAATAAGTTAGATGAGAAGGCGAAGAAAACTCAAAAGATAATTATGAAAATGAAACATGGGCAAGGATGAGCATGTGTGATGCTGTTAACAAGGTTTACACAGGCTGAGTTTGTTC